CTTGACTGCCTGAGCTGTGGAGGATTGATCTGTGGCTTGAAATGTGGCTCCATGATGCTTGTCCACATACGTGATGGTCTGGCTGCCTTTCTGACCCACTCCTGCCTGTTTCCATCTGAGACGCGCTCAGACACTGAATTCCTGTATCCAGGTTCATCACCTGGCTTTATGATGGCCCAGTATCGCTGGCTCTTCTGTTTTTCTTCTGTTACAGTTTCTTTACAAGAATCTCAGTGCAGCAACAATTGGGCACCCTTGGCTACCCTCAAGTTAATAGGCTTATGATCTCTGTTGTGTTAATCGTTACTGAAAGCTTATGAATGAGAGAACCTTTTGGCCTAGTCTGGCTCATTTGGTTAGTAGTATCTAATTGAACCAAATACAGGCAGACCCAGTATACTAAACGTTGGGTTTAGGGAACCGAAAGTTGCAACGTGTATAGTAGCAAAACAATGTATTTAACAGTTTTTGTAACATTAGGATACTTTAAACATGGGGGGTTCAGGACTGTTGTGGGCAAAGTCCATACTCTGACTTAATGTGGGCTTTTCCAATGAGACCTAATAGAATAAAGTTGGACCAGGGGCCATAAGTTAGACCGAGTGTGTTTCACTTGTAGCTAACCAAATATAGTACAGATGGTCCCGTTATACTGGACAGTTATTCCAGGTTACATTCCTAAATAATGCAACTTAAAGTGAAAAGACTTTTATAAATGGGAATAAATATACATAAAACATAATGTAATGAGTTTGAGATGTGTTCCCTACATACAGTTTAGACAGGGAATAAATGTGCCTATAACCATAATAAAAAATCTGATGAATATAAATAATGTATCCAGTTTCTTAAGATTCTGTAGTCTCGTCGAAAGCAACAAAGCCATTCACTTCTTCAGGGTAGATTTTTTATTTCCACCACTGTGTGATTGCTAACTTTTAAATACATGCACCTTGATCCATTGGTTGGATCAGGAATGTAGTGAGAGATGACAGTAATTAAAGTTTAACATTCATAAAAGTCAGTCCTCTGTACCATACAAAATGACTGTGGTGCGTCTTTGGAAGAACTTCAGAAATGTTACATTGTGACCGTTTCAGTTTTGTCAGCTGCTGTGCCTGAGGCTTGCTTTGGTTTGTATGAAACTCGGTCAAAAATTGGATCCACCGTGGCTAAGATACCCAAAAGCAAAGGTTTGGGCTGAAAGGTTTTGTTGGCAATGATCAAATCCAAGACAAGGTGGTGTAATGTGTCCGAAGTCTTGGATTTAGAATTTGGTGTTCTGTGACATTCAGAAAGTGGTGTTTGTGCAGTCATTATGTGACTCCAAATCGCAAGCCTTCTCCACAGTTCTTCAAAAAAGAAACCACAAAGATCTCTGCCAATGCAGCTGAATACATCCCCTAAAGAGGCGCAAAGCTTATCTAATGAATTTATCTAACGGTTTGCTCTGCTGGTATCTAACCATGAACCGTCTGTGTATCGCGGAAAGCACTCAAGACAATGAGCCTCTGGTATCTCTGCTCATAATGACTTGGTAGTATTTTGTGAAAGGGTGGTTGGTTGTGTGAAATCTATATTGTGTGACCTGTGAAGTGAAATTTATCAGATTTTATTCCTAGGGGTAAAACGTAATTGAAATATACCAAATATGCAATACAAATTTTAAATAATCTTTTGGGAAAAATGTGTTTTAAAGATCTTTTGTAATGCAAATTAAAATACCAGTGTTGACCAGGACAGGAACTGTGAAGCCTTGCTTTAGGTTTAAGAAACAAGGAGAGAGACAC